AAAAAAAAAGAAAATAAATAAATCATTAAAACACAAGCACCATAATTTTTCTTATTTTTAATTTGCAGGGACTTAGATTGAAACATTATCTAATGGTCATAATCAAAGATAGTCAATTGCTACTTCTCGTTAAATGCAAACAAAAGAAAGAAATTTTATTCAAGACCCCATTCAACGATGGAAATTGGCACCACGTTGTACTGAGTCACGATGAAAGAAGATTAACCCTAATCGTTGATACTCAAACGCCTCGTACAATCAAAGTACCTCGAAAAATAGGTTTAGCACCGATGATGTATATCGGTGGATTACCAGAAAGTGGTACACCATTACCCGAACAAGTTGTCGTCAAATTGGAAACACTGAAAGGTTGTATCAGAGGTTTGAGAGTTAATGGAAATATTTACGATATGGTTGGTTCTACCAGTCGTGCTTACAACGTTGGCCAATGTTTTCCTAGCGTTGAAAGTGGCGCTTACTTTCAAGACGAGGCTTACGCGATTTACAGTAAATTTCAATTAACTCCTAATTATTAGAAAAAACCATTGAATCGTTCAAAGATTTATTTTAATAAAATCTAAAATGTTTATACTTTTTCAGAAAAAAATTTTGAACTAGGAGCCGTGTTAGAATTGCAATTAGAATTCAGAACGTCGGAATTGTCGGGGGTCTTGCTTTCGATAACTGCACCTAGTGGTTCTCCATCATTGTCCTTGGAACTGAACAATGGTAAAGTTATAATGTCCGGTGATTTGGGTGACAGTAATCCGTTATACGTTGAACAACGATTCCCAAGCCCTTATGCTATCTGTGACAATCGTTGGCACCGGATTCAAGCTGTTTACAATGACGAAGAATTAGCTTTGAAGGTTGATGATCTTGATCAAAAATATGGTTTACCTACTAACGTTAATTATCATTTTATGGAGTCCACTACTTTGGGTCCACTTTACATCGGTGGCTTACCAGGTAATAACAAATTATTTTCCTTTTAATCGATTAAATCAAATTATGCATAAATGAACCAAACGCCAGTTTTTAATAAATTCAAGTATTGCTTTTATTTGTTAAAAAAAAAGTAACACGTGCGCATTATATTTGTATTTCAATTAATTCATTAAAATACTAAACGTTTTCTTGTTTTCGCAATGATAAATGCAATAACAAATGAAACTCAAAATAGAAAAAAAACATAAACGAACTCGCACTTGGTTTGTTAAAATGCATAATGGGGTTTTAATCGTTTGTCATTAAATTATTACAAACATTTAAAAATATATTTATAAATATTTTAAGCATCTGCTATGAAAGGAACGTTATTAACGCGAGATCATTTCAATGGGTGCATAAGAAACGTAATGATAGGAGGAGAAAGACGTGATTGGACGGATATGGCCGAGCTGCATAACATACACTTGAGTTCATGCCCAATAGAATGATGCAAATAATCAATAAGTGCATCGAAACAATCCAAAGACTGTTACGCGCTACATAGTGTGACGAACTTTTAATTAAGAATTTTATTTTATTTTTTTTTTATTTTTTTTTTTTTAATATAAAATAATAGTAATAAGAATAATAAGAGTACTAATAATAATA